TGAACTATGTTTCTGCATATTTTATCTATCATATGTGGCATGAATATAAGTGAGATGTTACTATTGTAATCTGAAAGAATCCCCAAGGGTGCAAACATTTAAAGAGATACTCACTTTCATAATTTTGTCTGAGGTACTTTTCTCACATTAACTTGGTCCCAACCCTGAACACAGGTTTGTGATAGGGATTTGAGAAGAGAAATAGAGGTGGAGATTAGACCATAAGCCCAGAATAGAGCCCTATTATAAAGGCTCATGTGTGCCTAACTAAGAAGTTGAGGCTTGAACTTGTAGGTGGTGGAGAATCATAAGTTTTTAATCTGGTGTGGCAACTACGCAAATGTTTGCTTTAGAATGGTCTTTTTACAAATTTTGAAAAATCGTTGTTAGATGCCTTCAAGTCTTATGCAACTCATAATGATTATATCCTGTGCTATCCTCACAATGTTCACCATACTCAAGGCCATTGGTATAGTTACTCTTATAATAATTTGATTGGTGTCAATCTCTCTTGCTGAGTGTCTTCCTTTATTTCACTAACACCCTACTTTTCCAAAGATCGTGACTTTTTTTAAGGACTAGTGCCTTCCAAAATAATGCTTAAAGTGAGACAAAATTTCATCATCCTTGCCTCTAAAGAATACCCTAGTTTCAGTTCCTTCAAGACACATATTCTTGTTCTTTGGGCAGTGTATTGAATATTCTTCAACACAACCAATTCAAAGGTATTGATTTTTCTCAGGTCTTCTTGTCCAAATTGCATATGCATATGAGGCATTTGAAAAGAACACAGTTTGAGTCAGGCACATCTTAGCCTTTAAATTAACATCCTTGCTCTTCAGCACTTTTTTTAAAAGTCCTTGACAGTAGATTTGCCCAATGCAACATGTCTTTTGGTTTCTTTACTGCTGCTACCATGGGTGTTGATTCAAAAATGATGTAGTTATTGGGTCCAGTGATGAAGACGTTTGTTTTCTTGATGATGAGATGTAATCCATATTGAAGGCATATAGTCTTTGATTTTCTGCATCAAATGTTTCAAATCCTCTTCACTTTCTGCAGGTATGATGGTGTCACCTGAATAACTTAGATTGCTGCTGAGTCTTCCTCTGATTCTGGTGTCACCTTCTTCTTTGTATAGTCCAGATTCTTAATTTATTTGTTCAGCATACAGATTGAATAGGTATGGTGAAGGATACAACTCTGATGCAACCATTTCCTGATTTTAAACCAGGTGTTATATCCCCATGCCCTGTTCAAATAAGGGCTTCTTATTTCAGGTTTAGGTTTTGCATGAACAAAATTAATTTTTCTGGAATCTCCATTTTCAGTGTTATAAATTATTATAATGTGCAAATTCTAATGCCTTTTTTTAGCCAACAAAACACAGGTCTTTCTTGTATTCTCTGTTTAAGACCAAGAAGAAGAAAGTAGTGGAGAGAGAGGTAGATTAATGTAATGAACACCATGAACACAGTGACAGACACTGCATCATCTACAATTGCAAGCTCAATATTTTGAACTGTGCCTGAAACATAGGCATGTATAATGACTATCTACACTGTTGTTGTTAGGTACCATAGAGTCGAGTAAGATTCATAGTGACCAATATGCACAGCAGATCTGAACCCTGTCCTATCTTGTGTCAGCCTCATAATTTCTGACATACTTGAGTGCATTACTGCAGTCACTGTACCAATCCACCTGGTTGAGAGTCCACCTGGCCACACCTAACAATGTGTCCAAAATATATGAGAGAAAGCTTTATTATGCACCTTCTCTAAGGCATATCTCTTTGTTCTTTTGGCAGTCCATGAGATATTCATCTCCAAAACCACAATTCAAAGGCATCACTTCTTCTGTCATCTTTATTCATTATCCTGCTCTCAGCAGCTTAGTAAGTGATTGAATCAGACACACCTTAGTCTTAAAACTGACATCATTACTTCTCAATAATTTGGAGAGGTCCCTGACTTCAGACTTTCCCAGTGCAATACACCTCCTATCTTCTGGCAGCCGGTAACAAGTGTGTTGATTGTGGATCCAAGTAAGAAGTCTCTGACAGTCTCAATACTTTCTCCATTTATTGTGATGTAGCCTACCAGTCTAGTGGTGAGATGTTTTAGGTTTTTTTTTAATTGATGTTGAGATGCAATCTATATTGAAGGCCATAGTCTATGATCCTCTTCAACAAGTGTTAAAGTCCTCTTCACTTTTAGCAAGCACAAAGAATATCATTAATATCATATGCAAACAAAATACTGCTGATGGTTGTTCAAATATGGCTAGAACAGTACTCAGAGAAATGTCAGAAGTTCAAGCTTGATTTAGAAGAGACCATGACACAAAGGATATCACTACTGATCTTCTGATGTCAAATGAATCCTGCCTGAAAACAAATACCAGAAGAATGACTATTTGTGCTTTATTGACTATGCAAAAGAACTTTACTGTGTGGATCATAACAAATTATAGATACCATTGAGAATAGGAATCCTAGAATTAAATTGTGCTCATGTGAAAACTAGACCTAGACCAAGAGGCTAATATGCAAATAGAGCAAGGTTTTAAAATAAGAAAGTTGTGTATTGGGGGTTTATACTTTCATATTCTTCTTTTATTTGTACATTAATATATGGAAAATAAAGAACCAAAGACCCTTAATATTTGGAAAATAATATGTGGAACTTAATTTTCAGGTAAGAGATATCTTAGAGGAGAGGTAGGTTTCTTTCTTTGGAGGATGTTGTTGTTATGTGCTGTCGAGTCGTTTGCGACTCATAGCGACCCTATGCACAACAGCCCTAAACCCTGCTCTATCCTGCGCCAACCGCACTGCCTCTGACACACCCATCCCGATTACCCCAGTCACCGAATCAATCCATCTCATAGAGGGTCTTCCCCTCCTGCGCTGTCCCTCCACCCTCCCAAGCATGATGTCCCTCTCCAAGGACCCATCCCTCTTGGCAACATGTCCTAAGAAAATATTTTAAAACTGACAGGAAAGTTCCACTGTATACATTGTTGGTGGGATTGTAAAATGGTACAACCACTCTGAAAGGATGTTTGGCATTTTCTCAAAAAGCTGAGCATAGAAATTCCAAATGACCCAGCTATGCCACTGCTTGGAATATACCTTGAGAAAATTAGAAATGAGGCTCCAACAGAGACTTGTACACCAATGTTCATAGCAGCATTTTTCACCATCGCAAGAACATCGGAACAGCCCAGATGTCCAACCACAATCGAATGGATTGAGAAATTATAGTACATTCACACAATAGAATACTATGCAGCATGCAGGAGCAATGATTTTGTAAATTACTGCCTAACATGTGAGGGACTGGAGAGCATTATGCTGAGTGAACGAACTCATTCTCAGAAAGACAAATATTGTGTAAGACCAGCTTTGTAGAACAAGTACGAGAATCCAAGGAGAGAAAAACGGGCTTAATCATAGGGCCACACAATTTGATGGGTGGAGGGAAGGATGGGCAAAGAAAGGGGAAGGATCTGGTGACAAAAACAATGCATACAAACTTTATGAACTTTGTATGTAAACCAGTATAAAATAAAATTTTAAAAATGTCATTTTGAATGATAAAACAAAAACAATAAATAATAAAACAAATAGAATAAAACAAAACTTGATACTTACACACACACACACACACACACACACACACACCCTGACCAAAAAAAAATCCCAAAACAGAGAGGATACTAGTAGTCTTTCTAGGGAATAAAGAAGCATAAGGGCTAAAAGGCAGTGAGGTTAAAATAGGTTAGGTCCTAGGTCAGTGGTAAGTAGCAGTAGAAAATGGCTTCAGAGATTTCTCATGGACCAAGGGAACTTTCAAACTGTTGAATTGTGTGAGTTTCATGGGTGCTAAAGATTGTAGATCAATATATGTCTATCTAGCTAGCTGTTTTTCACACACAGGTACGTGTGCATACACACAGGATATAAGCCTTCCTCATATGGTATTTACTGATGGTCTTCCTTGAGAGTTGTCACATTTAAATGTAAAGAAAAGTAATTAATGCAGCACATTTTAAAGTTTCACATTCTATCCAGGAAAAATGATCAAACAGAACTAATGAGTTACACTGACAAAAAGCTTTCCTTATTTATGGTATAAACAGGAGAGTCTCCTGATATTCTCAAGGGACACCCTGTTGTGCATAACCATTGAGCGTATTCAATATTTTGGGATGAATCAAGACTTGACAGACCAGAGTTTTTACCGAAGAGTTGGTACTTGGATGGCATAGCTACATCAAGCTATTAAGGAGTGGTTGAAGTAATTTGGAAGATATCCCTGACTAACTGAAGCCACTCTTGACTTCGACAACTATTCTTCAAAATACAATGGGTACCTGTGGTTGTTAATTTATGAAAAATATTATAGACTTTGTTCAAAATATGACATCAAAGATGTTTCAAGAAGATAGCATCTAAAGACTTCCAGACCTGGAAGCTTAAGAATGGAGTCTAAAAAATAATGCTCTAAGATTTTCATAAACCACTTGCTTGATAGTTAATAGTCTTTTTGGTGAGGAGGAATGTTCAAGAGGAAAATAAAAGTTTAAAGAGGAAATTTTTATTTCAATGTATAAGTTCCACGTGAAGTGCCTAAAAGAAGTGACATGAATAATAGACACACATGTTGTTGTTAATTGCCATTGAATTAGAGCTGATCCACAGAACCCTATAAACAGAAGAATTAAACCTTGCTGTATCCTGCACCATCCCTGAAATGTAAATAAACTGTATAGGCTGGAGATATATTTGAGAATTGATAATGTGTTGATAATATTTGAGGTATGGGGGGAGTTTAAAATTTTGGTCTTTTATTTATTTCTTGTGTTTTTATTTTTGGGGAGTTCTTTTAGTTGTGATTTTAACAAAAGTTTACAAATAGGTTTTCATTCAAACATTTATGCACATTATCTTCTTTCTCCCTCCCACAGTTCACTTTGTGTGAGTTTCTGGGTTTATGTGCCAGGCCAATGACTTCACACGCCATAATGGTACTGGTGGCAAGTCCATCTACGGGGAGAAGTTTGATGATGAGAACTTCATCCTGAAGCACACAGGTCCTGACATCCTGTCCATGGCAAATGCTGGACCCAATACAAATGGTTCCCAGTTTTTGATCTGTACTGCTCAGACTGAATGGGTGGATGACAAACATGTAGTCTTCGGCAAGGTGGAAGAAGGCATGAACATTGTGGAAGCCATGGAGCGCTTCGGGTCCAGGAATGGCAAGACCAGCAAGAAGATCACCTTTGCTGACTGTGGCCAGCTCTAATGAGATCTGTATGTCATGTTTTCTCTTAATCACCAGATCGTTCTTTCTCTAGCTCCAGAGATCACCCTGCTACCCACAGTGTGTTTGCAGTGTCTTTTACTCTTTGTGCTCTTGCTACAGTTCTTTGCGCTCCATGATTTCTCTCTTTCCCTCCAAGGTTAGCAAAATTGCACAGTTTACTTTATATCTATGAAATAAAAACTATTAAAAAGACAAAAACTAAAAGAATATATATGAAGTCTAAATAGCTTTATATCGCTAAATAAATTAATTCCATTATTATAAACTTTTTCATAAAGAAAAGCCCATATTTATACTTTAACAAAAAAAGTAACACCAGCATAACACTGACTCTATAATGAGACAAAATCATTGCAAGAAAAGTTTCAAAGGAGTCTCTCATAAATAGAGATGCAAAAAGAAATCCTTGCTAAAATTCTAAGATTTCAAATCCAGTGATAAACAAAAATAAATAGAATATATCACAATCATATGGTGCTTACTCAGAGTATCTAGTAATGCCTTATTATTTTAAAAAAACATTCAATGCAATTCAGTATATTACCAAACGCAAAATCATACAAGCACATGTTGTTGTTGTTATGTGCTGTCGAGTCACCGACTCATAGCGACCTTATACAACAGCCCTACAGGCTGCTCTGTCCCTTGCCAACCTTATTGTCTCCAACACACCTATCCCCATTACCGCAGTGACTGAATCAATCCATCCCATCCAGAATCTTCTTCTCCTGCTCTGTCCCTCCAACCTCTCAAGCATGACGCCCCTCTCCAAGACTGATCCCGCCTTGAAATGTGCCCAGAGTATGTCAGAAGCTTCAGATCCTTGCCTCCAAGAAGCAGTCTGGTTTCACCCTCTCCAAGACGAATCTGTTTATTTTTCTAGCAGTCCATTCAGTACTCTTCTCCTGCACCTCAACTCAAAGGCATCAATTCCCCTTCGATCTTCCTTAGTCACTGTCCAACTTTCTGATGTAATTTTGAAGACCATGGCCTGGATCAGGTGCACCTTAGTCTCCAGACTGACATTGCTGCTCTTCAATAGTCTGGAGAGGTCTCTGACGGCAGAGCTCTCCCAGTGCAATTGTCTTTTCCCAATGCAATTTGTCTTTTGTTTTCCTGGCTGTTGGTACCAAGAGTGTTGACTGTGAAGTTAAGCAAACTGAAGCTGTTAACAATCTCAATCTCTTCATTGTCTATGGTGATGCTGCCGATTGGCCTAGTGGTGAGAATCTTTGTATTCTTGATGTTGAGCTTCAATCCATATTGAAGTCTGCAGTCCTTGACCTTCTATAGCAAGTGAATCAGGTCAGTTTTGGCAAGCAATGTTGTGATATCTGAATAACACAGGTTGTTGATGAGTCTTCCTCCAATCCTGATGCCACATTCTTCCTCATAGAGCCCAGCCTCCCAGATGATCTGTTCCACATATAGATTGAAAAGGTATGGAGAGAGGATTTATACATGGCATACACCTTTCCTGATTTTGAACCATGAAGAGATTATGAATATTGCACTAGAATGCCAAGAAGAAAAACGTAAAAGTGACTAAATCAAGAAGTTAAGGTGCTGAACAGAAGATTTCAAAGGGCAGTGCAGAAAGAAAAAGCAAAGTATTATAATGAAATGTGCAAAGAGCTGGAGTCAGAAAA